ACTCGTACAGACCGTACCAAGTCTGGAATGCGGTTTTGTGTTGATCTTTCGTCTAATGGCAATCTGATGGTAGCCAGATTTCAAGTCTATCTTTGTGAAGTACTTACATCCTTGCACCTTATCCAATAGGTCATCGATGCGCGGTAGGGGCTCTGCGTTCTTAACGGTGATGGCATTGAGGCCCCTATAGTCAATGCACATCCTTAATGATCCCCCTTCTTCGGTGCAAATAAGACAGGTGATCCGAAAAGGGAGATGCTAGGCCGTACCCAACCCTTTTTTGTGAGCTCTTTCAGTTGCCGACGGAGTTCGTCCAACTTGGCCGGAGCCATCCTATAGATTCTCCCTTTGGGTATCTTGTTCCCAGGGATGATCTCTATGGTATGGACAACCTCCCTGTCTACGACACTTGTAGGCTCCTCGAATAGATCAGGGTACTTAGCAACGACACTCTCTATCTTTGGGGGTGTTTTAACGACCTCCCCTTTTGCAGAGGCAAAGACCAAGTACATACCTTCCTCTTGGTTCTGTTTATAGTAATTATAAAAGGCCGATGCGCACAAACACCCATAGGAGTCAATCAACCTACTGGCTTTATACTTAGCTAGTCTAACGGTCCTCCCAATAGGCAATTCGTGCTTCAACACTTTCTTGTCCCAGTCGAACTGGGCTTGGCAACCTCGAGGCAGTACATACCTAACAACATGTCAAACGGTAGGTCGTCACTAACCAGGAACAGAATCTTATGAATCAGTTCCCCTCCTGGACATGAGAAAGTGCAGACCACGTCCTTCATGTAGTCCTCTACCAACATGCGTTGTTGTTGCGTGCCTGGACGCGCAGAGGTAAGTGAGGGAAGTACCGCGCGACGAATGAATCACGTGTATAGACACGTGTGATAATAATCGCAATCTAGACATTGACACGAGCGCGTGCACTTACCCTCTGAAGATGATGATGTGGACTTGAGAAGACGACAACAACATTGCTGACGTGGTGCATTGTTGCTGAGGTGGAGATCGAAGACCAACGAAGAGCGTCGTTGGCTGTGGCGCTGACGTGGCACTGGACGATCGTGCAGAGAGGGAGAGAGAGGGAGGGAGGGGGAGAGAGAGAGAGAGAGAGAGAGGGG